CTTACTTAGGCTTCTGGGTGGAGAACAGACTGTAGAGGAACGAGAATAGAAACATAGTGACCTATTGCAGTGGTCCGGTGGCTGGGCCTTGGCTGATAACGGGGGAGTTAGTGAGAAGTGTCCAATTCAGTTTGTATTTTGACGATTTCATGCATGTTCATGGTAGTGTGGCCAGAGATGAGGTTATATTTTAAAGGTGGAGTAGTTAGGATTGCAAGAGATCACACTGCTTTGAGTAGAAGAGCCAGAATTCCTATCTGTTTGTCTGATTCTAAAGCCCTGTATGTAACAGCTCTTCTAGGCCGCCATGATGCTAAGCAAACACTAAGCATAAAAGCAGAATAGAAGTGCAACTATATAATATCTTCAAGTGTTAATTGAACACCTACTCTCTTGAAGTAAGTCTTTGGGGCACAAGGCAAAAAGCTCTGGACAGGATCTGTAGGCGATCAAAGTTCAAATTTTTCTTTTGCCATGGATTTTTCCTTAGTGTGGATCACATAACATCTAATGTCCCTTACAGCTTTAGCGTTCCATGTTTCTACTATTTAGCACCTAAGGAGATACATTAGAGAAATTTATACAGAGAAGCCCACAGATATGCAAGAGAAGATTAGACTTACAAGCATATGATTAACATACTGATTATTGCTAGAGGAGATGAGAGGTGGCAGGACTATAGTCTGTCTTTTCAGTTTCAATACTATTTGGTTTAGGAAAAGTATTTGGTTTTAGTGTATTACTTTAAAGGAGAAAAAGCAAGTCTGTACATTGTGTCATTTCAAGCAGCATTGAACACCTATTGCATATTTAGGCATACTCAATGACATGTATTGAACACATCTAGGTGAGGGAAGACTTTGCTAAAAAGTTAAAAAAAGAAAAAGAGGAGTTTTTAGATTTACACATTACTTTTTTAAGACTTTACAACAATCTTATAAGATGTTGTCTCCCCTTTCTTCACATTATAAAACTAAAACTTGAAGCCGTTCAACCACTTGCCTAAGGTAGCTCACTTGGTAATGTAGCTAGCCCAGTATTCAAGTCTAGGTTTGCTGGACTTTTTGTCTCACCACATAGGATCTTATGAGTGTGATCACAGGCTAGTTCAACCATAGGTCAGAGTGTGTGCTGTATTAACTACCTTGAAAGGGTCCAGCACAAGGTGATCAGTGCCATAGAATAGAGGTCAGCAAACTTTTTCTGTAAAGGGCCATATAGTAAGTGGACCATTATGGTGTCTGTTGCAGCTACTCAGCTCTGCCCTTGTGGCGCAAAGACAGCTGTAGACAGTACATCAATGAATGAGCGAATATGTGTTTAATAAGACTTTCTTTAGGGACATTGAAATTTAAATTTCATATAATTTTCACTTGTCACAAAGTTTTATTTGTCTTTTGATTCCCCCACCCCCAACACACAACCATTAGAAAATGTAAAAATCATTCTTAGCTTGAGAGCTGGACAGAAACAAGTAGCAAGCTATATATGGCTTGAGGGCTTGTGTTAATCCGTTTGGGCTTGTGATACTGTGATTTATAATAAATATATAATAGGTCTTTGACCTCATTCTTGGCACAGAGCTCCTAAAACCCTTGTAATTTTCTAAGTGAAGATGGCCCTAAAGCTGTGTTTTGTTATGTTAATGAGGTGACTTTTGGACCCCACTTAGAATGTGAGTTGTTTGCCAGGAAAGCCAATTATGTAATTATAGTCCCATTCCCTTCACCCTCTGTCTCCAGGGAGGGGAGAGGGACTGGAAGTTAAATCAATTATCAATGGCCAATGATTTAATCAAACATAACTATGCAATGAAGTCTCCATCAAAACCTAAAAGGACAGGGTTCTGGAGAGCTTCCAGGTTGGTGAACACATGAAGGTGCTACGGGAGTGGCATGCTTGGAGAAGGTTTGGATGCTCAGTGCTCCTTCCTACATATTTGGCTCTATACACCTGTTCCATCTGGCTGTTCCTGAGTTGTATCCTTTTATAATAAACCAGTGATCTAGTAAACAAAATGTTTCTCTGAGTTCTGTGAGCCACTCTAGCAAATTAATTGACCTTGAGGAGGGGGTTGTGGGAACCTCTGATTTATAGTCACTAGATCAGAAGCACAGGTAACAATAACAACCTAGCCTTGGTACTGGAGTCAGAAGTCCAAGGAGAGTGTCATTGAAATCTCCAATCTGTTGGCTGTTGATCAGAAGCACTAGTAACAGCCTGGGCTTTTGACTGGCATCTGAAGTGCAGATGAAGGGACAGTCTTGTAGGATTGAACCCTTCACATGTGGAATCTAATGTCTGGGTAGAGAGTGTCCAAGAATTGTTTGTTGATATGGGAACCACCCCTCCCCTCCATATTGGAAATTGGGCTTCAGAACACCCAAAAGAAGGCTACTATAACAAATTACCATAGACTTGTGGCTTAAACAACAAACAATTATTTCTCACAGTTCTAGAGGATGGGAAGTCCAAGATCAAGGTGCTGTCAGATGTGGTGTCTGGTGAGAGGGTCCTTTCTGGTTTGCAGAGGGGCATCTTGTTTCTGTAGCATCACATGGTAGAGAGAGAGATCATCTCTCTCATGTCTCTTCTTATAAGGGCACTCATCTCTTTTATGAAGGCTCTACTTTGATGACCTAATTACCTTTCAGAGGTTCCAAATACCATCACATTAAGGATTAGGGCTTCACCATATTAGAGGGAGGACAAAAATATTCAGTCCATAGCAATTTATGAGGGGAATCTTGGCATCTCTGAAGAGCTCTGATATCACTCCTTTTTGTAGGTCAGACCTTATAGTGGGAACTGCAGTCACTGAACTGGGAAACCTAAATGCAATAGTAGTAATTGGATCCTAGGGTGGCAGGGGCCAAGAGGCAGGACAATGGTACACTACCAAAAAATTTATAGTGTTACTCTTTCTCCTTTCATCAAAGGGACCTACAACCTTTTACCAGACTAACTGTGCATTGGGAAAATGGAAATAATCAGATATCTTGGGGACTACGGGACACTGGCTCTGAACTGGCACTAATTCCATGAGACCCAAATGTCACTGTGGTTCACCACTCAGAGTAGGAATTTATGGTCAGGTTAGGGTTAAGGTTAGAGTTTTGAAATGTTTCTAGAAAATAATACTGGTCTGACTTTAACACATTCTGACTTGTAAAGCCAATCTGCATGAGGTGATGATATAGATATAGGCCTTAGATAGTCAAAGGAAAGAGAGATGAAAAGAAAGTATTTTGGCTCTTTTATTCCAAATACCCCTTTGACTTATGCTTTTGCCATCTTTAGGTCTAAGATTGCTTTCTTCATTATTGTTTTTCTCAACAAAAATTTTAGTAATACCAATGGACAGTTGATTACTGAGTGTTGAATGACAATGACATCACGTGAGCATGTCAGAAAAAAAAGAAAAGTAGCAATATCTTATTTTTGAGCATCTACAAGGAGTTTTCAAAGGAGACTTTCTCAGTGAGTTCTCTCAGGAGTCGTAGGAAGGGAATTGCTCTCAGAGAGGAAAATATGGTAAATAAACAATGTTATGAGATGGGAACAGAAGGTGAAAGGACAATTTAGCTTACATCAGAAGTGTTCTTTTTCCCTCTCTAGCGAGACTGTGGAACGCAAGATTTTTAAGATTAAGTATTCCTTACTTTTCATTAGACCACATTACACTTTATGGTAGATTTATATCAGTACTTTCTCAGTTCTTGAAATTAGTGTGACTCCACCAGCTTAAATGCAGTGGGTGGCTCCATAGTGTAGTGGTTAGCACATCTGCTTTAACGCAGAAGGTCCTGGGTTCATGCCCCAGGTGGAGTCACGGACATACCCAGGGTGCCCTGGGCACCTGACACAGTTGCACGAGCTCGTGGGAGGAGACACCTGGCTTTCAGAGATCCAGTTCTTAAGGGGAGACTGCAACATCTGTAGGTCAGAGGTGGAAGTAGGGGGGGCGGGGGAGAATTAAAGAGAGGGAAAAAGAAAAAAAGAAATGCACACGCAGAACATTGTTTGTGATCACTATGCTTTTCTTTCTTTTTTTTTTTTTTTTTCTGTGAAAGGCAGTAAAGGTTTATTATTCCTTGAACTTAAGGTTTCCAAAGCATGCAATGGATGTTTCAGAACACATTAGATTGTGTGGATATCTATAAAACCCATTCCACTCTCCAGATTAAGACTTCTTAGAAGAGAGGGACTTCTTATACTCACTTTTATGTTTGTCTCATCCTGACTCACAGTAGTTGTCATATGTATAACCATATTAGCAAACTAGTAGCTATTCCAAGTTTGCAAACCACATTAGCAAACAAGGTTGCCCTCTACAAACCAGAAGGAAGGCTCTCACCAGACACCACATCTGACAGTACCTTGATCTTGGACTTCCCAACCTCTAGAACTGGGAGAAATAACCATTTGTTTTTTAAGCCACCCAGTCTATGGTATTCTAGTTTGCAATCCCTACTAAGTACTCAGTAAATTCAAGCCAAAGACATAAATGATATTCACAGGATAATCAAGATGATTCCTTAACCACCCGCCTGACCAGCATCCAGAACACTTTGAGCGGAAGAGAGGGGACTGCTGGTTCAGATTCCAAAATCTAATGCGTCCCAGGTAATAACCTTGCAGCCACCACGGCATTTCCTTTCCCTCTGAGACCTAAGCATCCAATAATCCTTTTGGTATTTTCTTTTATCTCACTCTGCAGTTTGTATAGGCTTTGATATATTTTATATGTTCTTACAATTTTTAATTTAATAGTCTAAGCAGGACTTTTCATATTTTGGTTACAGACCCGTCCCCAAGAGGAAGAAGACCCTAGACAAGAGAAAGCGAGGGGCTAGAGGTGAGCCACTGGTACCTAAGTTGGAGAAACCTGGTCACTGTCCAGAGACAAGCAGAGCCTGAGTTTCAAGGGTGGAATTGGGAGCCGACGACCCCACGTGACCTCGGGGGCCCGAGCCCACCCCGCCTCTCCGCCCGCCGCCGGGGGGCGCATGCGCAGCCCGTGTTAGTGATGGAGGAGAGAAGATGGCGGAAGCGGAGTGAGTGACTTGCTGGTGACTGATGTCGTAACCGGGGGGCGAGTGGGGCAGCGACACGTCCCCAAGGGGAAAGCTCAGGGCTCTTTCGCGGACAGTGCGGGGAAAGGGAAACTCGAGAGCTTCCTTATCATGGAGGAGCTTGCTTGGCCCGTGTCGGGAGGCGGAGGCGAAGTGTAAAGCGTCCAGTTAACCTCGAAGCGGGAGCGCCCCTTCTACCGTCTGGTCCAGGATCAGCGGGGCCCTGCGCGCAGGATCACCCCTGAGACCTCGGCCGCTAGGGTTTTCTGGGGGATGAGCCCCTGCGGGCTTCTCAGGCGCTGTCATCCCTGCAAGCGGGCCCCGCGGGCAGCCTTGTCACGGTTGTCCGCGCCGGGGCCCTGCGGAGGCTGGGTAGGCTGGGCGAGCACTACCAGGCCTCCTCTGCGCTCCCTTCTTTCCCGCCCCGGCGCCACCCTCCTCCGTGGGAGAGCCCGAGATGTGGAGCAGCTCGCCACCCTCCCCCGGCAGGCATGGAGGAGGTGTCCGAGCGCCGGCCTTAAAGCAGAGAGGTCTCCTGCGGGTCTGGCCAGGCTGAAAACACCCTGGAAAGAAAGATCTTCTTTCCTTTAGGTCTCTGGCTGCAGAGTGGATGACTCCCTAGAGGGCCACATTCTTGTGTGGCGGTGTGATGGTATGCATAGTTAGCGACGCAAACTTAGTGTTTCCTGGGTAGGCCTCTTGTGCACCAGGACTGCCGGATGTATTTTGCAGGCATTTCTGTGCGTAGACGGTGGAGTTACAAAAATTGTTCTTTTGTGCCAGGTGTCCAAATTCATTTCAGTGGTTTGGCCAGTTCCACTCACCGATGTTTAGACTTTGCCTGAAATTTGGATTCTCTGTGACCATTTTTGGTTAATTACTGAACTGCTTACCATTGGGTTTGGATTTCAGGATATGGTTGAGCAGAATAGCACTCTAAAAGGACTAGAATTTCAGCTGGGGTTTTTTTGCGTATCCCTGGTACGCAGTTCATAAGTGTTATGACGGCCAGTAATTTGGAAAAAGTTTACATTATCTACCACTAAATCTGTATAATGTTGAACAGTTTGATTTGAGGCTGTAATTAGATTATTGGAAGGCAGTTTTAAAAACTATTTAAAAAACAGAAGCACCAAGATGTATGAGTCACTTCTTAATAAAAAAAAGTAAGCGAAGTTAGCTTCCCCCTTTTTTCTTTCACTTTTCCACTTATTAAATAGAGATTTTTTTTAAACGTTTGATTCCCTGAAGAGCATATAAATATTTACATAAATGATATAAAGAACAAAGAAAACTTGTACATAAAAGTACACCATATGGGAGTAATGTATACGAACACAATTAGTGCCCAATTCCTTTGTCTTTTCCTGAAGTAGAAAGTGTTCTTGTTACATTCTTGTCAGTGCTGCTAATGTGAGGTGGGTCAGATTTTGTTTCTCAGAAGAAAAGACAGATAAAACCAGTATATTCTCGTGTGCTTTTCCCCATTGTGGTGCATTTCTAACCCTACAAAAACTACTCATTTCAGTTTCTAACAATATTGTGGCCCTCAGAATTGACTTAAAATGTTGTTTGACTTTATTCAGATACAGATCCTGTATACTTAGTGGAATTTTGTACAATAGTGAAGTGAATTTGTTATAGTGGATGGAAAACAGTCAATAAGTCTTGTACAAAAATGTACTTTACTGTCCATACTTGAGGAAAGTGACATAATTCTGCCGCTTTCAAAATTTCAGGCGGTCCTTTGTGAAAAAGAGATTTTTTGTAAGGAAGTGGGGAAATTGTTGTTAGCTGCTTTTTTACCCAATCAGAGTAATCTGCTTATGAGTTATAAGAGTTATAAGAGTAATCTGCTTATAAGAGTTACGTTAGATGTAGTAATGACAGTGTTGTTAATTAATTATAGGAAAAGCCAGTGTGTTTTTTATTAATTTTTTTCTAAGAACTTATTTTTAAAGCAAAGTGTATACAGTAGCCAAAAATGAAGTTTATTAACGCAGGTCCTTAGACATCTTATTTAACGTATAGATAAGAATGACTTTAATTTGTAATTACTATGGTCAAAAGAATATAAATATTTTAAAGTATTCTGATGTCGCTTGGTTTTTTATTTTCCTAGTTAGTTTAGTATTCTCTCATCACCTGTTTTGGTTTCAAAACACTCATCTTCTTTCAATAATGAAAAGATAAGCTTTAGGCCAATCTTTATCTGAGTCACATATCCTGAATCATTTTAATTCAAATTTAGTTGGTATTAAGTATTAAATGTGTATATTCGTGAAGTACTTTTTCTAAGTGCTTATAGTAACTGTGGTATTTGTATTTTGAGGGCCACTTTAGAAATTTAGACTATTGCTGATTATTTCTTTGAAATAATTAAATATTCTATGAGCCTGTAGGATAATGCTTTTGCCAATACAAACCCTTTGTGTTGTTTACCAGATTTAAGGACCACAGTACAGCTATGGATAGTGAACCAAACCCTGGAACATCTGTTTCGACAACAACCAGTAGCACCACCACTACCACTATTACCACTTCCTCTTCTCGAATGCAGCAACCACAGATCTCTGTCTACAGTGGCTCAGACCGACATGCTGTACAGGTATTTCAGTTATAATGATGGATAGGCTAAGACTTAGGATGTCATTACTTTTTGCTTAAGCCAGATGAATCTGTTGTTTCTTATCCTCCAATAAGTTACACGATGTCCTCTAAATGAGTACAGTTAGAATTGTTAATGCTTGAAACAAGCAAAAAGTTAATAATCATTCTATTGAGAGAGCTTACAGTTGTCAGCATGTAGCTTATACAGTGATATGTTAAAATTATACTTGGAAGGTCTCTAGCTGCTGCTACAATGTGGAGACAATCTAGAGTTCTAACATGCAGAATGGCTCTAGGTTGTTATGGGTTATTTTATATTTAAACCCAAAATATAGACTTAGGGAGATCTATTCAGGTCTGTAGATGCTTTAAGAGGTTCATTTTAAACCCACGTGGTCTGAGAAAGATTCATTCTAAAGCTCTTAGGAGCAGAGTGGGAAGGGAATATTTAACTAGGAAAAGTCTTAGGCTCTTCACTTAGTTGAGAAAATGAAGTTTACGTGGTTTATTTATAATAATGGCAGTTGAGGCAATGTGTTACTGCATAAAAAGGGCATGGACATTGCAGTCTGATATGTTCTTTGTTTGAATTCTACATTTATCTGTTTATGAAGTTTCAGGCTTAGATTTTAGTAGCTTATGTTGCCTTGAGAGGCATAATCTTCTTGAGCCTCAGGAAACTGTAAGATGAGGGTGAGACCATCTACTTGATTAGTTATTATGAGGATTAAAGGAAACATCTAGAACTGTGCGGGCACATTAAATATACCCAGGAAATAATAATAGCTAATATTTATTGAGCAATTGCTATGTGCCAAGCATTTGGTAAATGATTTACATGGATTATCTCTTTTAATTCTCACTATACCTCTATGAAGTAGATACTATTATTATGTTCGTTTTACGTATGGGAAAACCGATGTTTTAAGTAGGCTAAATTTTCCTAAACTCATATAATAAGTTCTCTCACTTTAGAGTTGTGCCTTTAACTACTCTGTGATTTATTTTTTCCATTATACCTGCTTACTTTATAGAATTCCCATAGTTGCATTCTACCCTGAAAATAACTGTGATACAGTCCTCTTCCCATTCATTTTTTGTAGAGTAGCTATCCAAGTATAATGGCTATTTAACTGTTCTATGTTTTAGGATTTTAAACTTATACCATTGGTAGAATCAGAATTGTTAGAGATCCAGTCAGTTCAGAAATTCAAACCGGAATGCAGAATTTCTTAATGTTCTTTACCTTTCTCTGAGGCAAGGGATATAGGGAATAGGATCTAAATCTTCGAGCATACAGATAGGTGATTGGGTATTTTTAATATGCCATTTTGTTCTCTAGTTTTTATCTAAGCTGGATGTGCTAAAAAATAAAGTGTTACTCAGATATAATGTACAGCATAGGGAATATAGTCAATAATATAATAACTTTGTATGGTGATAGAAGATTACTAGACTTGTTACAGTGATCACTTTGCAAGGTATATAGATGTCAAATCACAATAACACCTGAAATGAATATAATATTGTATATAAGCTATATTTTAATAAAGTTTTTAAAAAAATGTTACTGGAGAAGTATAGATACAGATATATCTCACTGGTTTGTATGAGATCACAGAATCGTTTCCCTTAAAATGTAGTCAAATCAATCTTTATCGAACTATTATTGAACCTAAGTAGTTCTTTAATACCTTCCAGCTTTCTTTTTCAGTCCCGTGAATTCTGTATAACCTCCTTGTTTGTTCTTTTAGAGGAACAAAATAAGAGCAGTGTGCTATATTTTTAACTTGTGTTTAAAAAGTCTCTCTCCCATGAGTATAGCATTGAACAGTAATGAAAGACTATACTGACAATAGAAAAAATTACTATGATAAAAACATCTGTCAAAGAGATTATTCATTTGTTATTTCAGTTTGATTTTAGAATTTTGTTATGGAATTAGAAGAACACAGATAGATTTACCTGACCAAAAGAAACATATTGTTATAATTCTAAATTACTTAATGCTGGGCTATAGTCCCCTGAAGCCAGGGGTCAGAAGCTTATATTGATTTTGTGACAGGAATCAGTAGCAGGTATAGCATTTTGTGGTTAAGAGATTAGATGTGAACACATGAAAGCAAGCAACACAAGGAAATATGCTCTCTTGGAATTTGGATAAAGAAATTCATGGCTTTGTGGTTCAAAGTGTCCTGTCTCAGACTCTCATGCTGTAGGATATGGCTCTATCACTCCTGTAATTCTTTGAAAACTCTAGTTTAATGCCGCTATTAGGGTTCTTTGCCATTTCAGTCACTGTGGGCATGATATGACTTTGGGATGTGGTTGCAGAGGACTGGCATAGTCATGACTTACCAGTACCAGTTGGGACAGATAAAGGATTTTCTGTTATTAGAATATTTGACTTTTCTACATTTATCTATTTATGAAGTTTCAGGCTTAGCTTTTATATTATAATAAATACTCATAGTGATTTACTTTTTCAGGAATTTTTAATAAAAATAGTTTTAGTCCGTTGACATGATTAAAACAAGGAATTGCTGACATTTAAAAAAATTTGAAAACATTTGAAAAATTACATTTGAAAAACTAATTTTATGAAATAGAAATCACTGTATTTTTATGTGATTATTAATTCCCATTCTAAGTTTTTCAGACATTTAGAGAAAAATACAAAAGAGAAGATAAAATTCACCTCATCTAACTACCCATCGGTAGTCTTTTAATGTTTTCCTGAATATTCTTTCAAATTTTTTAACATAAAAATGGTATCTTACTCTATACACTCTATTTAATCTGCTTTTTTCACCTATATATTTGAGAAATTTTTTTGTTAATACAGATATATCTGTGTGATTCAATATAGTAGCTCCTAGCTGCATATAGCTATTTATATTTATATTAAAATTAAGTAAAATTAAAAACTCAATTTCTTAGTTGCAGTAGCCACATTATAATTGTTCAAGAGACACATGTGGTTAATGGCTACTATATTGGACAGCACTGATCCACATTACTATTAATAGCTGCAGGATTATACATATTTCTCTCTATACCCACGCCCTGAATTCTATCAAATTTTGTCCAAAATAGTTATATCAGTTACGTTCTTACTAACATTTGTGAGAATGTCTTGTTTCCCAGTTAGTAGTAGTATTTTAAAACTTTATCCATCTGAAAATTGGAAAATAGTATCCTGTTTTAATTTGTAAGTTTTGACTACCACTGTGATTGAAGATCTTTTCAAATGCTTGTTTGGCCCTTTTTTCTTTTGTGAATTGCCTATATTGGATAGTTTTAATTTGTACAGATTAATGAATCCTGGTGATATGTAATTAGGAGAGAACTGTGTTAAAAGCTTGATGATGTAGAATATTAAAGTAGTGAAATTTTAAACTACTTTTTTAATACTTTTATGGTTTGACATTTGTTCAATTGACCTATCACAGGTAATTCAACAGGCATTGCATCGCCCCCCCAGCTCAGCTGCTCAGTACCTTCAGCAAATGTATGCAGCTCAACAACAGCACTTGATGCTGCACACTGCAGCTCTTCAGCAGCAGCACTTAAGCAGCTCCCAGCTTCAGAGCCTTGCTGCTGTTCAGGTGAGACCGAAATAAGAATTATGAGGCCAAAGTTGATGTTATCTATGGATAATTACTAACAATAAATATATTGGGTATTTTTTCAGAGTTCTCAAATATTTTGTGATTATTTTTTAAGGAAATATAATAGGCTGCCAAATGGAAGTTAATTTAAAAAAATAATGGATCTTTTTGGTTCCACTAACTTTTGTACCACTGATTTTTATCTGCATCACAGAAATGCTGTGCTATTGTCATGATTTTGTGTGTAAAAATCTAGGTACAACAGTGAATACTTAGGGTTACATGAATTATATTTACATTTTAACAAAAAAGGGTTTTTTTTTTTTTTTTTAGTATTCAGGTAATTTACACTTACTAAAAAAATTAGTATAAAATTGTTTATAAGAAGTAAAGTATCCTTTTTCACCATCCACTGCCGTTTTTCACTTTTCAGAAGTGGCCACTATCACAGTTTAATATGTTCCCCTCCAGAAATTTTTATATAAAAATATGCATATGCACCTTTCTAAAATCTAATCATACTATACCTGCTGATAACAGGACGATTTTATGATTAAATGCTTGTGTCTTAAAAAATATTTTCATTAATATTCGACTGTTTATTTAAATAAAATTACATGTGAGATTTCATCTTCAATGTTATTAGAAGATCTCAGTTGAGTGACTTGAAAAAGGTTTATTTCTGTTGTAAACACCTTCCCAGCTGTTGCTCTTTCTTGGTAGTGTAATTTTAAATAATATATTCATGATATGAGTTAGGAAACTGAAACCCACTGGTACTTGATGTAGCTTCAGTTTCTTTTTCATAACGTCGGAGTGGTGATTCCATTTCAAAAAAGACAGACACCTGTAGAGTAAAACTGATGATGAGTGTAGCTATTAAAATAAGACCAGCTTTTGGGTCTTCTGTTTTCAACATTCAGCTTTTTTTTTTTTCTTAATCTTTTTGACCAAATCTTGATCCACGTTGATTATAAAATGAATTGGTTCATATGTAGACGTTTTGAATTCTTGTGGTTTTGTGGTATTGTGGTACCAGAAAGTTTTAAACTTAAGGTTTTTATAGACTTATTATTAAAGCTCTTATTATTTTAGGCAAGTTTGTCCAGTGGAAGACCATCTACATCCCCGACGGGAAGTGTCACACAACAGTCAAGTATGTCCCAGACATCTGTAAGTGCCCTCATTTTTTCCCTAGATTTAAAAATTTTAATTATTGCTTTCCAAAAGTAAACTGTTAATATTTGCAAAGCTGTTACATTTGTTGAAGTGCTCTTTGAGTAACAAGTACCTAGAAATAGGAATGATAAGGTTCAAGAATTTAGAACTAATATTTAACTGTGAAAATCTGGGTCTTAAAAATATTTTTGTGTTATTTCTTATACAGGCTTTCCCGCTGATTATATTCAGATCTTTTGTGATTCTAAGTGATTGTAAGTGATTGCAGTTTTGAGTGTAATGAAAACCTGAAATATACAATACAGGATTATTAGGCTATGCATTTACTGTGATGTACTAAGGAATGTCATATCCTTTATAGACATCTAAATGTTTCTAGCTTTTTCTGTGAAATTCGCGTTTTAGAAATTATACTTTTCAGCTTACACTTACTTGAGTTATCTGGATCAAATTTATAGGTATCTACTCAAGAGTATTATTTATTTTGAGAAAGGGAGTAAAAGAAAGCTAATTTGCTATATTGCACATATACTGGGAATTTGCGCAGAGTTTCCTTGTTAAAAGAAATTTAACAGTAAAAATTCACAAAAGACCTGCATTGGTAATTTTCGGAAGAAAGACTTTTTGGTTTTTAAACACATGAAAATATATTTATCATATTATTAATAAATGTATATAAAACGACAATGATATACTGTTTTCACTCATCAAATTAGAAAACAAAAACATTGAGACAGTACCCATTGTTGGCAAGGTTGTGAGAAAGTAGGTAGACTCATACACTATTAATGGGAATGTAATTGGTACAGTGTTTCTGGAGGGTTATTTGGTAATGTGTATGCAAATTTAACCTGCGCATGCCCTTTCATGTAGCACTCTCATTTTAAGTGATGTCATTTACTGACATAATTATGTAAAAATGACATAATTATGCAAATATGCATGGTTTATAATAGTGAAAAATTATAAACATAAATGTTCATTAATTGAGGATTAATTAAATGGTAGTTAACTCATACAATAGAATATTAAAGCTACTAAAAATGCTTTATGTGTGTTTATAGAGAGACTTAGATTTTTATTAGGCATTAAGTTGAAAAAAGAAGTAAGAATGTCTAGTATGATCTCGTTTAACTTATTTAGGTTATTCAGGTTTTTTTTTAGTTACAAACTTTCCATTTAGTTTTTCTTCCTATCTTCTGTTTCTTTGCTGAGAGTACATTTTTTTTTCATTTCTTTCAAACAGGCTCATAACTGCTCATTCAAAGCATTTTTATGATGATTGCTTTTCATTCAGTTTGAGGTCTTTTTGCTTCTTGGTTTGATGAATGATTTTTGATTGAAACCTGGATGTTTTCATTATTATGTAATGGGACTGTAGATCTTATTTAAACTTTCTTTTTTGGCTGACTTCTGAAAGGGAGCATGTGCCACCTCGTGACTATCATATAGAAGTAGAAGTCCAGGTTTCCCTCTTGGTCTCCATTGACACCAAGGAGGGTACTCTCTGTAATTGCTGAGTAGAGGTGAGAGTTCTGGCTCCTCACTAGGCCTCCACATATGCCTTCCTGGAGAAGAGGGATAGGACTGCCCTGTAACTGTTCGCCACATGGTCTCCACTGATACTGCAGTGTTGGGGTTTGTTGGTGGTGGTGGTCTATTACTGCTTGGCTGGGGTGAAAGCCCTGGCTCTCAACTTGGCCTTCTCTGACACTTACCCTTTGGAGGGAGTGGGGGTTGGGCGCCTCATGATAGCCTGGTGAAGGTGGCAGTTTAGGTTTTTGCTGGTGTGGGTGTTGGTGGGGCCACAGTGTTTTCTGTGGTGTTTGGCTGAAGTAGAGAAATTTTTGTCTAAAAGATTTCTATGTTGCTAGGCTGTCCCTTTCCTGGTCTTTTATTCTGGAAAGAGCAGTCTTCCATTGGGCCTTTATTTACGTGCATCCATCACTGTTTCTGGATTATCGACTTCTTTAACTCCAAGTTTGGGTTATATGAGATGAAAAGAAAACCCAAGGGGTTTACAACCAATGTTGTTCACTGTGTCCTGAGGTCTCTAGCCAATCTGCATACCTCCACCTTTTGGGATTGTTTTAATGTTTATTTTATATGTAACATGCAAGGTTTTTAGTTGTACTTAGGGGGAGGAATAGGGAAAAGTATGTCTACTCCATCTTCCTAGAAAATCTGTAATACACAACAAACTGTTAATCAGTGGTTATCTCTGAGGAAGATTGAAACTTTGTTTTGTTAATTTTTAAATTGCCTAAATAAAAAATATACTATTGCTATCTGAGACAGACAATACAAATGTATAGAGTAAAAGTGACTTCCCCCTTCAATAGTCTCCTTTACCTTGACATAGTTTTTTTGTGTGAAGCTTTCCTGTCTTTATTACTGTGCATTTCTATATACTAATGTAAATAGATAGGCCTATGGTTAATTTTATTTGTTTTAATATAAGGAAGTGCCATCATTCTGTATATACTTCAGATTCTTTGGGCATTTTCAGCCAGAAAGGATTATGTGGCTGGAAATTGCAGTCATAAATCTCTAAATGACTCAAGGGCTGTTTGTATCTCATTCCCTTTCTCTTTCTTTGTTGTTTTTCAGCTCTGAAAAATCTACATTAATCCCAGATGTTTTGATTTTAATTCACTATACTATTCTGTCAAAAAGGGAAAAACCTTATTTTTAATGGTTTCTAGTTACGGTGCTAGACCAAATGAGCTTTTGAAGCCCAGTTTTATGACTTCATTCATACATAATATTCAATCCACAAATATTTATTGAGCATTTAATATGTGCCAGATACCCTTTTGGTGCTGGAAATATAGCAACATAACAGACAAAATCTCTGTCCTTATAGAGCTAGAGAGAGACAGATAGTCAGCTAGTATATAAAATGTCAAACTGTGGTAAGTACTATAGAGAAAAATAAAGCAAGGAAGGGGAATGGGATGAAGGAATTTGCTATTTTTAATGAGGGTGGTCAGGCAAAGTACTGCTAATAAAGATAGCATTTGAAAGAAGGCGAAGGAGGCAAACATGCTCAAGGAACAGGAAAGAGGGCTGTGTGGCTGGAGTGGAATGAGTGGGAGTACGATTTAGAGGTGACGTTAGAGACATAATTGTAATTCAATTATGAGATCATAAAAGCTTTGGGTTTTACTCGGCATGAGTTCAGAAGCTATTGGAGAGTTATTTCAGTAGGGAAGTGATGTGATCTCACACAGATTTTAACTTAACTATATTGCTGAGAATAGGTTCTAAGGGGCAAAGATAAAAGCAGGGAGACCAGATAAGTGGTTATTGTAATCTAAGAGAGAAAGATGCATGGCTTGGACCATGACGGTGACAAGTGAGATGAGGAGTGGTTAGCCACATTCTGAATATTTTTTTCTCCAGTATTTTATTATAGAAATTTTGATGTTTTGAAAGTAGAGCTACCAGGAAATGGTGATGGATGAATGAAAGATGTGCAGAAAGGTGAAGAATTGAGGATAACTCTATTATTTTAACTTGAGCATCTGGAAGGATCTGCCAAAGCAGGTGTTGGAAAAGAAAATCAGGAGTTTGGTTTTAGACATTTTAAGTTGGGTATGTTAGATACCCACCTGTATATGTTGAGTAGACATTGGACATATGAGTTTGGAGTTCATGTGGGAGGTTTGGTGATTAGTGATGTCTTGTGCATCATTGAAAATTCAAGTCATGAATACATGATGACTTCACTATCAGTTGTGGAGTATCATGAGAGAAAGTTTGGTAGAATGGGGACAAAGGACCTGGATTCTAGTCTTAATTCTATGACTGACTGGTGACGTGACTTAGGGCAATTCATTTAATCTCCTTACACCTTAGCTTTCTTTTATGGAAAATTAAGGTGTCTAATTAGATGGTTTTTAGTCCTTTCATCCAGATGTCCCTGGGTCTAGATCAAGGAGAAAATGCAAGAGATAGTGCTATGCATTGAATTGCATCTCTCTCAAATCCATATGTTGAAATTCTAAACTCCATGTGACTATATTGGAAATAGAGTCTTTAAGGAGGTGATTTAAGATTAAGTGAGGTCGTAGGGATGGAGCCCTGATCCAGTAGACCAGGTGTCCTCATAAAAGAGGAAGAGACACCAGAGATCTCTCTTTGCTATGGGAGGACACAGTGAGAGGGTGGCCATCTACAAGCCAGCAAGAGCTCTTATGGCCGGCACCTTGATCTTGGACTTCCCAGCCTCTAGAACTGTGAGAAATAAATTTCTGTTATTTAAGCCATACAGTCTATGGTACTTTATTATGGCAGCCCAAGCAGACTAAGATAGATGGGGCTCTGGGCATTACCCTAAGCTGTAGACAGAACAGTTCTGTGATCTGTTTGAATCTGGGAGTTCTGGATAAGATTGAGTTTGAGGAAAGGTTTTTCTAAAAACAAAGTTTGAAAACCAGTAGTTTAGATGTTAATCTAATATTATTTCAGAGTTTCTTAAGTACTTTATATATATATTATAAAAAACAGTGCCTGTCATGTAGCAGGTGTGGAACATATTTGTTGAAAGATGAAGTTATTGGACATATAATCAATTAGAATGTGTAATGCGTAAAATTTTAATTCTTGATTACTACAAGTTGATCATCTGCAATGCAGAGAATCATTTTAGAATATATTCTGATTGCCTGCAGTTGTGTCATAGAAGAAATTGTGTATATACTTTGACCTCAGTGATGAGATTCTTTTGTTGCCAGTTATGGACAGGCAGCCAATTAGCAGGTACTGTATATCTGTTCTCCAACATTGTGCTAGTTTCCCTGGGAGTACAGATGAGTCAAAATCCCTTCCCTCAGGGACAGTAATATACGTTTAAAGAATTATGCCTAGACAAATCAAATAGTAAGCAACATAACAGTATATAATTAAGTGATAAATGCTGTGGGAGTTAACAGAAAAAAGATCTTTGGGGATTGGAGTAGTTGGGGAACTCATCTTGTATGGGACTTAAC